TGAAACTAAACACACCCTTAACATTACCCCAATGAGACTGTCTCAAAAAAAAAAAAAAAATTCAAATTTTGTATTATTTGTAGAAACACATAAAGCTCACCTAAATAAAGCAGAACTACTAATTTTTTTAGTCAATTAATTTGTACCTTTATTTTTTTTTTTAGTCAATTAATTTGTACCTTTACTTTATTTCATAAATAAAAAGAGGTCTCCCTCTAAGTGGGAGACTAGTATAAATCAGATTATAGGCAACATTTTCAGCTTAGGTAAGGTACATAAGTTTCAGGTACTATTAAAAGCATCTATCTCTCTGTATGTCAAAAATAAAAATTTAGGCAGAAATCTGTTACAGAAAAATTGGCAAATTAAATACAAAAGTTAGAAACAATGAAGTGAATTCTATGCTTATTAAGAATTGATTTTAAGGCCGGGCACAGTGGCTTATGCCCGACACTCTGGGAGGCCCAGGCAGGTGGATTGCTTGAGCTCAGGAATTTGAGACTAGCCTGAACAAAGGTAAGACCCTATCTCTACTAAAAATAGAAAAAACAAGCCAAGAGTGTTTTGTAGTCCTAGCTACTCTGGAGGCCAAGCCAAGAGGACTGACTGAGCCTAAAAGTTTGAAGTTGCTGTGAGCTATGATGCCAAGGCACTCTACCCAGGGTGACAGAGTCTCTGTCTCAAAAAAAATAATAAATAAATAAATTTGATTTTAAAGGTAGTAAATGCCTAAATTTAATGTCTTAAAATTCAATGTCTTATTTTGTTGGTTTTAACTAGAAATGTTTTGAAGTCATGCACTCTTTAAAGGTCGCTGCTCTTTAAGTTAATAAAATTGACAGATTTTGAGTCTTAATTTTTGTCTACTTAGGGGCATCTGTGTTTATATGAACAGTGCAAGAACTAGAGCAAGCGATGAGTCTCTGTCAGAAAGCGCTATCATAGAAACAACAATTAAACATACTTTTCCTATTAAAATGGCTCCTCAAAGATCATCTCTTTTACTTAACATAAAATAAATCTTCATATTCTAACACATAAAGCTATCTTCTTTTAAATTGGTTTATAATCAAACTTTTCACTAGTTTATATGCCTTCTACCTTCCTTAATTACCCTCAAATCATTCCAACTATATTTTCTCATTTGGGGGGTTATCAATACATTTCTTTGATCCTAAACTGGACATATCAACTACAAAGCATTTTCCAAGTTACATATCTAAAATTTTTGGCATAGGTTAACAAAAATAAGATTGACTTACCCACAAATTTCATATAAATTAATCCAAGTAATTGTACTAGAGCAAAGATACCCAAACCTGAAATCAGGACAGGGCCATGCACTGGTGTACAAGCTGCAAAAACAAAAAAAATTTTGGATTAGAAATGGGTATGAAATAAGTAAGATTTTAAAATAAATCAATAATAATAGTAACAGCAACAAGTTTTAAGGTAATTATATTTATAATGATTGAAAAATAGGCTCGGCGCCTGTGGCTCAAGTGGCTAAGGCGCCAGCCACATACACCTAAGGTGG